ATTTCTCAAGCATATTTATTTAGTATTGATTAAAAGAAAACTTAAATACCTACTGGTATATATCTGAGTGGTATAGTCTGAATAAGTCGATTCAATTATTTTCTAGTCATCATATATTTGAGGCTATGAGTTCAATAACGGACCAACCCACAAAAATTCAAAATTTATTTTATTGCAGAATATTAACTGTCTAGTTGAAATCTATCAGCTGCATAGTGGACCAATCCACATTTTTCTATTTGTTACTAGATGGCTCCACTAAAGTAGTTTTGGAACTCCATATTTGATAGAGAAGCAAAGTGGGCCATGTGCGGTGAGTCCACTGTGCTGTTGACAGTTTTTCTGATGTTTTTCTATTATTCTTGCTTGATATTTTTGGATCTTTTTGTAAATTGTCATTGTGACATTTAATTATTGGCGAATATTCTGTTCTATCCCCTATCCTATTTTTTTTTCTGAGAAACTCTCAACAAGGAATATAATTTATATACACATTTTGTGGTAATCAAGTCTGTGATGCAATATCGAGTGTATTATTTTGTGGGATAACCAAAGTGGACTAACCCATATTAAAAAATTGAAAATGTGTGTTTGTCCAAAAATTTTGATCAAATTTATCAAATAAGTATCTAACATACTTTCATTCAAACCAAAAAATATTCTTAAATAAGGTTATAGTGGATCTTCTAACGCTTATTAATATTGGAAATAGTTCGTTATTGCACTTATCATTGCACTGCCTCATTTATTCTAAGTAGGTTTAAATTAAAAATATATTTTCCATTCGTAACAATTGTTAAAATTTAAAAGTCATGAATTCATCAAATTAATAACAATTTGTATCATCTGTTTAAATGTTTATGGACTTCCCGTTTTAAAATAATTTCATATAAAGATAATTATTATTTTTAAACATCTTATTTAGTTTATATAATAATTAAATTTACTATCAAATTATATTTATTTATATTTTATTATTAATTCATTATCTCGTCTGAATTGTGACAGGTCTGTCAGAAGTAAACAACGCATGCTTTGTTAATACATTAGTAGGTGGCGTTAGGAGCAAACATAATAATTTATTGAAATATTTTAATATAATATAATTTGATTAAAATATAAATAATAAAGTTTTATTTAATTTTAAAAATAATATTTAAATTTTAAAAATACAGAAACCATAGTATGAAGCTTCGCATTAATCTGTTGTATCCCCTACTATATCATATTTTCTTACGTTTATTTTCCAATTCTTTGATTTCATTTTCATTATTTTACCAATAAGTAAGCTGTTTTCACTCTCCACGCTCGGTAAGTCAGAACTCTTCCATATGGTATTTCAGATGTATGTACGAGATGTGCGTATTCGCAGTTCTGTAGGTTATAGGAGATTTTTGACCTCTGTTATTGTGAAATGTGAAGCTTCCATCGTTCATTGTCTTATCAAGTGAGATGTCAGGCAGGCAGGATTACATTGTTCTATTTTTAGCACCGTTGCGAAGTATTTTAAAATGAGGATTTTCGTGTATTGGCAAATGTTACGCAGCTATGAAATCTTTACTTCCTAGGCCTCCCTTACCCTTTATCTTACGTTCTATCGTTAGTTGTTAAAAAGTGTATCATTCTACTCATAATGTCTACCTTAAGTATGCAATTTTCGTACTTATTCAAGAAGTTCTCTATCTTCAAGGCAAGCTCTACTTAATACTTCCTCATTTCTGACTTCGTTTCTTCATCATAAAATATTCGGCGCATTCGAAGCATCTCAAAAGATTTTTAATGGCATTAAGTTTATTAATAGATCTGTTCTTGAACGTCCATGCTTACATTGTATACAATAGAACAAGCCAAACGTAACACTTAATCATCTTGCATCTCAAGATGAAATTCAGTCTGCGATTAGTCAAAAACTTCAAAGTTTCAAGAAAGCGTTTTACTCTGCTCTTTGTATCGGTCTAAGGGTCTCAACTATTAAATATTTAAAACAACACGCAGACAGACAACTTATCGTTTATTTTACAAGCCAAACGTAACACTTAATCATCTTGCATCTCAAGATGAAATTCAGTCTGCGATTAGTCAAAAACTTCAAAGTTTCAAGAAAGCGTTTTACTCTGCTCTTTGTATCGGTCTAAGGGTCTCAACTATTAAATATTTAAAACAACACGCAGACAGACAACTTATCGTTTATTTTAGTCTTGGTTGAAGACATGATTGGTACTTTCTCTACCAACACGATTATCCATTATAATTAGGGATGGATGAGACACGATAAAAACCACGATAAAAAATTGCTTTATTCATTTCCGAATAGTAGTCCATTAAAGCCGATTTAGAGGAAAATATAGTCTTTGCAACCTCAATGAAGCCATTTTCATTACCAGCATGGAGACTAATGTATCCATTTTTTTTTTCAATATGATTAAATATATTACCGTTTTCCATCAGTTTTAATAAATTTCTATAAAAACAAACTTGTATAGTTCTTCATGTTTATACTTCGGTATAATCCTAAAAATTCTGCTCTCGTCACACCAATATGAGACTGTTTTATCAGCCCTCCTTACCTTGGATCATCCTTAAACCATTTAAAACTAATGTCTTTTAGTACAATATTGAGTGACATACGACAACCACTAAACAGTTCTTTTTTTCTTCAATTAAATCCTTAAAGAGGTCAAAGTAAATGATTCTTCTGAAAATAATTAAATTTGATTTCATGTTAATCAAATCTGTTCAACTTAATACACTTAATGATATCTAACAAAAGGTATATGTACTGACTTCCTTTTTAAATACTGTAAATTATATTACGAATTTCGCTTGTATTTATTATTTCAGCATTGGTAACTTTCTTAGGCGTTTTTTTTGTGGTGATGTTTGAGCGATAGAACCACAATTGAAATATGTAAATTTAAAGCTACACGAAAACAAAAATGTATATTTTAAGCTTCTACGTAAACATATAAAAATGCATTACATATTTTTTTTAACAGCAATCAACGGTAGAATGAGGCCGTTATTATCACGTTCCTGTCCAAAATAATGAATCAAAGAAGCTACTGTCTCTTTACAACGACTATTTAACTTCTTATGTGATATTTTGGAGTTAAATCACACTAATTTTGTTTTCAACACAACAGAGTTTGAAATAAAAAACAACTCTGTAGTATCAACTCCGCCACTGTCAAAATAAGTGTTACAAAATTTCGCCAAAATGTCAACGTCGTTCAATCGCACTTAGAATGTGATTCGGACAAGTGTGCTTCATTATCCACTTATACAATTTAAATGAAACATGTTATGGTGTATTTTTTTAAGTTTACATTAATAGAAATATTCAAATATTATTTCTACGTGCATGTAATAAAATATATCTATAGTGACTATAATTTCAGTGTATTTTACTCGGCTAAAAGATTCTAAGAAGGAACAGACCTGCGACTTAAATATTTTATGTTGGTATCATGTGACGTCACTTACTATGACGCGGATGACGTGCAGCGGATTCAGACTGTACTAACTGTATTTCTACACCTGGGGGTTAATATTAATGTCATTTAGCATATTATATTTTTGTGTAGTACGTGATAAATATTATTCCCAATTCGAGAAATCTCGATTAGTAAGAGGCTATCATTATTCATAAAACAACTTTTTCTTTTGGTTTACACACATACTATGTGCAAAAGAACTTTGTAGCTGTAAATAAAATGCTAATAAATTTATAATTTGTAGAAATAATTGAATATGCCTCGAATATTAAATCTCTGCATAGCTGTTTTAATATAACTAGCCAGAAGATTCTTCCCCTTACGATATACCTAATCAATTTACTTGCGAGAGCACAACTTTTCTTCTATAAAGGCAATTAAGCTTTCAATAGGGCTAATAATTTTACAAGGTGCTTACGAAACAATAACAAAGCACAAAATGTTTCGTAACAACATTGGAGCTTTTGAGAGGTACGCAACGAGCAGTAAGCAACAGCAGCCACTCTCGTCTTTACTTTCTTCCGACCGTTTATTGTTTTCCTATCAGATCTCGTTTGATATTTTAACAAAGGGCTCTTTAATTGATACACAAAACTTTTATAACGGTGCCGGTGGTTACTGTTCATTGTTTCTACATCAACTACGTTCTCTTTGAAGTTTCGGCCCGACCTTTGTTGTTACTAACAAATACTACACAGTGAAAAATTCTTCTAAACACACAGAATTACAGAGGTTTATCACTTTATCTTGTAATGTAGTGCTAATTTGCAAGACTTTGAATTATTGTACTTACAATGTGTTTTGTACAATAGTACCAGAGAGTAATGTTTTGCAAAACGCAGATTTGTTAATATTTATTGTAGACATCGGATTAGATCAACAACAACTACAATATTATACTTCATAAAAAAAATTATTATAACATTTTTCGTCCTCGACAACTCTTGTATGTGTTTACATTGTCTATTGGTAAATGTGCATACCATCCAAGCAGTTCCTCCGGTAAACTTTCTTTTTTTACATTAAGTTTTCCTTCTTTTGTCATTTGACTGCGATACCCATTCTCGTCTTTCAGATGATTTATAATGATGCATTGTGGGAGTCTTTTAAGACTCAACATATCGGAAAATGTAATTATTTGAAATTATATAAATATATTAACTTTATTAGCCAAGTCAAGATGGGTACCCATAATCGAAATTAATTTTTCATTCCATGTAAACGTGGCGATCTGTTTCGGAGTTTACATTTTATACACTAAAAATTAATAAAATTTCCATTGGGACCCCATGATAGAAACAAGGACTCCATGATGGGAATACACTATCCTTTGACTGATAATCCTTTAAGTTTCTACTACTAAGGCTGATAATCTGGTATATCGCCAAATTGTACATACAGTATCCATTATTGTACATCCAATAATTAATTTGGATTTGAGTATATGTCTTCATTTTGCTAACATAGTTACTATGGGTTTATTTTGTTTCAATGAAACTATACGTAATGGTAACTTCTACTAAAGATTGTTCGAATTATAGGTATTGTATGATTACAGTGTGATTACTTTGGGTCATGTACAGCCGAAGATCTAAAACCAGTATTACAACGTGCAAGGTAACTTATAAAAATAAACAGTCAGCCTCTATCCAAAGATAGTGCAAAGGTCTTTTATCTATGACTAAAAGAAATAGACAAAAAATGCGACGATCTTGGCCTTAAAACTCAACTAAAACCGAGATCATGGTCATAGGATCAAACCCACAGTTGCAGACAAACAACTACTATCTATGAGAATCCAATAGAACAATTAGAATAGAACAAGTATTCAAACACTTGAGCTGCTGGATCACAGGACCCGGACCTAGAAGTAAAAAATAAGGATATAAATGGCAAGAGCAGCTTAGAATACTTCTAAGTGACAGCAGGTTCAGTTTTATCAAGTATTCCCTGTGCTCTATCTTGTTGTATGGAATAGAAGCTTGCACCATAAACGTCGGAATAATCAACCACCTCGAGGCGTCCGAAATATGGATGTACTGACGTATACTTAAAATATCCTGGATGGATCACATCACAAGTGACGAAGTTTTGAAAAAATGGGAAAAGTAGAAAACAAAGCATTAATCAATATAAAAAATACCGTATACCTAAGAGATATATCTCAACACTGGAGATGAAGCTCCCAAACTAATCATAAAAGGAATAAGAGAGTGATTTGACAACTCTTAAGAACGGCACAAAACTACACAAAATTCGCCGTAATTCTTGCCAACCTCCACTGACCTTAGACTGTACTTGAAAAAAAGAGCTGAATCGCAGAGATGTTTATTGAACTTTTGACTGACCTTAAGTGTATAAAAACCAAATTTTTTTTGTGTACACATGGGTCTGTCTGTTTTTCAATGTGTCTCTAGTAAGTTGTCGTTGCGTCATTTTCATGGTCTTCCCAATGATCGTCTTTCTATTTAGAAACCATCTCTCGCCGTCTTTACTACTCTATTTGTTGTCATTCGGCTTATATGGTCCTTCCATTCTACCCTTTGATTTCTTACCAACTCTTTGACATTTTCCACCTTGCATCTCCGTCGTATATCGGTACTTCTAGCTCTGTACCATAGTGTCGTACCATCGATTTTTCTAAGAGTTTTCATCGCTACTGTTTCTAGCATTATTTTTGTCCTCTCTGTGTCAGGTTGTGTTTCTGCCACTTGGGTCATTATTGGTCTGATGACTGTTTTGTAAATTCTGCCTTTCATTTCTTTCCCGATATTTTTATTTCTCCGTATTGTTTCATTCAGGCAACATGTGTCACTGTTTGCTATATTTATTTGATCTTCCACTTCTGTTTCGGGCTTTCCGTAGCTAGATAGTGTGGTGCCTAGATATTTAAACTCCCATCAGATAAAACGATGAAAACTTCATATCCTTTTTAGGTCTGTTAGTTGCTCAAAACGCAACATACAATATGACAAGCTTACGACGATAACGCTACAAAGACTGTTTACCATAAATATGATATTTGAAGAATAGCTATAAAAGAAGCCGAGGACGACCACCGACTAGATGGACCGATGATATAAAACGTGTAGTGGGAAACTGGCTACAAGCGGCCCAGTGTAGAGAACACTGGAAAGAACTGAGGGAGGCCTATGTCGAACAGTGGACGCGATTGGCTGATTGATGATGATGATGAATTGAGGACTACTCTCTAAATCTATTGCATGTCTTGCAACTATGGCATTTCTTCTCCTTAATAAATAGAAGTTGCTTGATCTAATTAAGGAGTTTTTGTTTGTTTGGCTGCCGTAAATTGATTAAGCATTGGTCTTTCTTTGGCACTGAAAATGAGGTACTGTACTTTCATTACAATGGATGATATACAAGCAAAAACACCTTTAGAAATAAATTCGTGTTTACTGATCATATGTAGACCTAATGTAGCACCAGAAATATTCTAGGATGCTATGTTGATATGGGAATAAACCACAATTGATTGTAATGACAATTACATTTTTTCCTAAAAAACTTGGCGTTTTGATTTCCACTCCGGAAATTGTTCTCAAAAAAGATTTGTAAATATTTTTTTTTTTTTGATAAACTCTATACAACCGCCAAGATTGTTAACAACGTTATGTCCTGTCAACAAAATTGGAGGTTGATTAACCACGAGAAAAGAACCATGCTAGAATGCGTTAAGCTAGAGCTCATGCCAACTGAACTGTTGATAACTGGAAACAAGTTTTGATTTTGTTTGGATATTATATATGTATCTTAATGTATTGCATGATAGATTAATAAAATGTTGGTGGGCGATTTATTTCGAAGCTTGCTTTGATTTGGTATCTACCCATGAGACACGAATAACCCAAATGTTAATATCGAGCATATTATACTATTTTTTCCATTTATCGACAACAACCTTTTATGAGAGATAACGCTCTACCATATTATGATGCTGTAGAAGTAATGGTCTACCTTGGTATAAGTGAAAATTTAGTTATGGATAGTCTATTCAGATGTTAAGTCTCACGTAATATGTGTAGGATGCATTTGAACTGGCAGTTAGACGCCGCATATAATATGCCCCTACGACTTAGAACTTTAAATAGCTGTTCTTCCCGAATGGGAGAATATTTCATAAGACACCATCTACACCTTAAGAATTTTGTGTAGTCAAATGAAATCATTTACGACAGCAGAGAATCCAATACTCGCTAATTTTTGTTATTAATTCCACTACTAAAGATATTTTTTTACTGAATTTTATCACTTTACTGCATCACAATAGATGCGTTACTTTTGTCCAAGAATTTATTGATTTGGTCCTTCTTTATAAATAGCATCGATGTACATTTAATTATTATCTCGTTTATTACGCTTTTATTACGGATGAATAATAAAAATGGAACAACGCAGAGACTCTAACATCCCGTAAATACTATTTTATACAGCACTGTAATTGGCTTTATGAGTATTTATCTTTTATTTATTTAACTCATAGGTAAATAGCAGATAAAACTAACTTTGATAGTAAAGCTACAGAGTGAATCTTTATGCCATAAACAAGCCATAACTTTAAGCACTTTTGTATTACTACGATGTATTTGCATTTCCTTCCGTTGTTCCCTGGAGTTTATTTATATTCCCATTATCGATTTCATGACCCGTAAACGAAACTTATGGGATAATGGAAGGGAAATAACAAGAAAATAGACAAATAATATTAAGAAGTAATGGAGAATTGAGATTACAATTTTGAAAATGTAGCCAAGTTCGAGTACCTAGGAGAAACAGGATAAATAAATAGATGAAGGGAGGAAGAAATATATATGGCTAATAAGGGTAGCAGACCAGTGAGATCATTGAACACATTATCGAAATCAAAAATAGTCAAAATCTAAACATATGAACAATAATAATTGGAGCGATAGTGCTGTACTCATGTGATTGAGTATTAATCAGAAGGAGAAAGAAATATGTAGACCTGGGAGACAAAAGTCCTACGAAAAATCTTTACTGATATAAATTTACCAGAAGAACAAGGGAGAAGAACCAACCAGGAGTTAATGGAGCTAAAAAATTATAATTTGGTATTGAATCTGCATAATTTGTCAAAGTGAATGCAGATTTATTATTTTATATAAAAATTCAAAATCAATGTTACAATGTAGCGATAAATTTAACACATACGTAAATATCTTAGTTGAGTAATGCAATCTAGAATTTACCCGTAAAAGGTATAATTTAATTTATTATCTATAGTAAAACATACATGAAACACACTATACAGATTGAACGAAATAAATTCGGAACATACGAAATATTATGTATTTCGGCTCAATTCTGCTGTAGGTGGTTGGCCAACAAAAGGTTGTCAAATAATTATATTATAAAATCCAATACTTCAGCGGGCTGCTGGATTCTGAACTAATTCAAAAACTCATTCATATGTGGTCAAACCACCTATCGCTTCCTAAATCCGGCCACTCACTGTACAGCGGTGTCGTTCGACATAATCGGACAGAGGCGTTATTCAATTTGTTGGTATATCTGGTGCGTTCACACACCATACTGCGCCGCAGTATTTGTTCGGTTCTCGACCATGTCAAATCAAAGAATCATTTTAGCGTCATTTTAATTCTCTTTTATAGGATGTTCTAAAATTGTTAATTTTTTTTTCTTACATACTCTTCATTCGCATCTTTGTTTACTTCTTGGAACTTTAAAACTAGAATGTCCATTGCCTGTTTTCGGGCGTTTCTTTTGTGATACGTTTTACCTTTTATTCGCTATAGCATTCTTGTTTTTTATATAATTTAAAAACTCTCTTAAAACATTCTCACTAAATCAAGCCATTTCGATTTTCTATAATATGATCAAAGCAAGTGTTTAGTTAAAAACGAAGTTCAACAACGCCGCTGTATCGTGAGTGGCCGCCTTTAGGCAAGCCCCTCTTTCGTTTATCGGAGATGGAGATTTTGAGCGGTGTTGCCAATATCATTTCACTAGATGTTTCTAAAATAACTACAAACTTCTGAAATAACTACAAACCATTAAGTTTATTTTTGTTATTAGTCTGTTGTAGTAGATTGGTAAATACAATGAAAAATATAGGCAAATATCCGATTTATTTAAAGATACGAAGAAGATATAACTCTCAAAAAGATCCGCAAATCGGATTATTACACGGCGATTGGCAACATTGACTTTGAGCTACGCTCTAGACTATGGTGCGTTCTAAAAAGAGACGAATAGTTGAACGATATTTTATACAATGTCTAACACCGGGTATGGATTTATTTTTGTTTAAGTTTTATAGTGGTCCACTATTTCAAATGCAGTTCAAACAGACATATATTAAATTGTATGATCCGTTTAAATTCGTTCAATCTGTATACGATTTTTATACAGATTTGGGACAAAAATCTCAAAACTTGTGTAAAACTTACAAGCACCGTGGATAAAGGATATCCTTGTGTGAAATCTCTGTTCACTTCAAATTCATCCGATGAGATGCCTATTCATACTACATGATTTAGTCCGTTATTCAGTGCCGTTTTTAGTCAAGTTCCGTGGGCATGACCAAGCAGCTCATACTTTTTATTCCTTCTGAT